TCTTCGTGACTGTGGTTAGAAGACTGTCCTAAGCCAGACCCATGGTGACCAGAGGCAGAAGACTGAACAGAGCCAGACCCATGCTTTTGTCTTCCATACCCTCCTGACTGATAACTAGAGTTGCTGCTATGTTTTCTCTGAGTAGAGGACTCATAGGAGCTTGAATGAGTTTTGCCATTGCTTATGGACTGGCCTGATTCAGACCCATATCCCTCATAACTTGAAGACTCTCTTGATTCAGAACCCTGTTTTTGTTGTCTACCAAGTCCCGATTGACCACTTGAATTGGATCTGTGTTGCCTCTGACCAGAAGAATGACTCTCAGATCTCTCTTGCTGATGAGAGCCATGCTTGTTTTTCTTACTATCCTTGAAGTGGCCTGAACTTGACTCTCTCCTTTCCCCAGAGCTTTGCCTGTGCTCTGAACTAGATAAGCCTCCTTGATGACCCATTCTTCTGGAGCTGGACCCAGGCCTGTGTTTAATCCTTCTTCTGGAGCCCCCAGAATAGGAATTATTCTCTTCCGTACTTGACCCTGAATGACCTTGCCTTCTGTCCTCCTCTTCTGTTTCATTCTGTTCCTCTTGGTACTGGTGACTGTGGTCTGTCTGCTTTGACCCTGAAGCTTGGCAGTAATCTTTGCCAATGATTTTATTACAAGCCTGAGCCAATTTGAATATCATCAGAAGATACTCAGTAAAATCCACTTTCTTGTCATGATCTTGATCCAGATTTTGCATGATGATATCTACAGTGTCTGGATCATCTGGATTCTGTATAGGAACAAGGTACAAGGGACAGCTATGTCACTGTGGACAACACACACCCAGCAATCCATTTGAAAGAAGACTGTAGAAATGTGAATGCTTGGCTTACTTAGGTGGAGCTCAACCACCTAGTCCTTTAGGCTGGAGTGTTCTATCCTGAGCCGAAAGAAAGAAAGAAAGAAAGAAGGAAAGAAAGAAAGAAAGAAAGAAAGAAAGAAAGAAAGAAAGAAAGAAA